TTTGATATTAATTTACAATAATAAACAATTCTTATTTTTATTTAAGAGAAAATAGAAGTACACGTTGTAATGCGAGACTACATTGTGACGTCATGAGCTTAGTCCCACCCATTTACTGACGTCACGCAGCTCCTCCTACTGAACTTTCTTGATGCTCCTAAAAAAGCAAGTTTTCAATGAAGTAGGTTTCGAGAAACAGCAGAAAGTAAGGTGTTACCAATGTGGAAAGGGGACATATCCGACCTAACTGTCCATCGCTGGAAAAGAATAAGGCTAATCTGGTGAATAATCGAGGAACGGAGAGTTTAGGAAAATGTTTTGAGTCGTATTTCAAGAAAGCAGTAATTAATGGGATAGAGAGAGAATAACTGAGAGATACTGGAGCTGGAATAGATCTGTGTAATAGTACTTGGATTAATACTAGTGACTTATTAGGGGAAACTGTATGGGTGAAACAGCCTTTGGACACAGAATGTAAATGTTTACCTATGGCAAAAGTCACCATTGAAGGTGATTTTGATGTGGTCACCACAAAGGCAGCGGGTTACTCCAGTAGAGTTAGATAAAGAGTACTCTTTGTTAGGAAATAAAACTGCACAGCTGACGGAGGAAATTAGGTAACGACCGGTTCTGTTGAATGTTGGGGAGACTCGTAGTCAGGCGCATGCGCGCAGGAGTTTAAAGAGATCGAGTGAGGAAGACTTAGATTCCAAATCGGAAGAAGAGAAAGAGATAGAAAGTGAAAGTGTTGTGAATAATGAGCATTCGGAAGAAAGGAAGCTAACCAGTAATACGGAGGAGACCATTAAAATTCCAGACATCAGTTTAGAAGAAAAGTCTATCCTTGCGAATGTTTGGCCAGCAGAATTCTCGGGAGAACAAAAAGCTTGCGCTAGTTTAGCGGCCCTGTGGAAGAAAGGGGAAAGTGAAAATGAAAAAGAGTTTATAAACTGTCAAGGAAAGACTATTCAGAGTGGCAGGCTCTAAAAAAGGGGAAGATAAGCTTTAGCAGTGTGTGTCTCTAGTTTTTAGGAAAGGGATCTTGCAGTTATGCCACGAGGAAATCTCTGGTCATTTAGGAGTAACAAAAACCAAGGATAGAGTTTTGACACACTATTTCTGTCCTAATTGTTACCAGGAACTGAAATTGTTACAGAATTTGTGAGGACGTGCGATATTTGTCAGCATGTAGATCACAATAGGGATAAAAGCCCCAATAAAGATTGTGCCCGTTATATCAGAAGGCATAGTAGGTTAAATATTGATGCAGTAGGACCTCTGATCCCTAGTTCACGTGAAAATAAATACTTAATTACGTCTATTTGTGTTGCTTAATTATACAGATGCCATTCCTGTACAGAATTTAACCTCTAAAGTGTGATTCAAGCCTTGATATAGTAAATCTTTTCTAGATCAGGTTACCCTAAGGAAATTCAGTGTGATTTGGGTAGATCGTTCACCAGTGAACTTACATCTGAGTTTTTAGCAAGTTCGGAATTAAGGTGTGCCATTCTTCTCTGTGTCGACCTCAAAGCAATTCTGTTGAAAGGTTGCATTCCACCTTGAAAAGGGTATTGAAGGCTTTGTGCTTGGAAATCGGGAAGGACTGGGAAGAATGTTTGCCATGTACTTTGTTCGCCCTCAGAACAGTTAGCCATGAGAGCACAGGTTTTAGTCCTTGCGAGTTAGTACATGAAAAAAATTTGAGAACGCCTCGAACGATCGTGTATGAAAACTGGCTAGACGAAGAAAGTTCAGACCCCACTGTGGTCGAGTATGTTCTAGACGTAATAAACAGATAAAAGAAATGGCAGGAGCTGGCTGTAGAGAGGATGAAACAGTGTCAGAGTAAAAAGAAACTCTGGTATGATCGCAACGCTGTTACGAGATGTTTTAAGGTCGGAGATCTCGTGCTTGTTTTATCCCCGTCTAAACCACACAAAATGGCCAGGTAAAGTAACTAGCGTTTTGGGATTATATTTGTGTAGATTCAAAATTGTTTGCGTTGTGTGTTTCATTTTCAAAAATTGTTAGAATTCAATGTTTTATCTTAAGTATTAGCATTTAAAATTTGAGAAATATACTTTGCATGAGATAGACATTAGGAGTAGTTTAAATCTTTTTGTTGTATTTTTGCGTTTATGTTATCTAGAAATAAGTGCAGGGTAATGTAATTGGCTTCTCTATTATCACTGTTGCTTAACAAGTAAATCATAGGTTCGAAAATCTGAGTCGACACTTTTTAAAAACACCAACATTTATTTTCCCGACATTTCTAATTCTACAAAATCTTAAGTGCAACTAACTATCAAACAGAAAAGCAGACGTAGACGTAATGATGCATCATCTGGGCACGTGATCCTCGTGACAGACGAATTCTTTAGGGTTGCCACAGAAAGGCAGTGTGTCGCCACAATTCTCCCACCTTTTGAGTGGATGGCTATACACTCAAAACATAAAACTTACATCAATATAAATGATGGTTATATAACAAAGAAAATTACTTAATACTTAAATCATATTACTTGAAAACAAAATTAATACTGAGGAATAATACAACAATAATAGCACAAAAATTAATCATAATAACTCAAAGACATAAATTACATTATTCGTGATTTTACAACTCTACCACTACTGGTGGTGAAAGGAACTTGCTCATTTTGAGTATTATCTATTATATTATCCAGTTCCAATCTAAACAATCTCTGTATTGGTCTCAAGAACTCTGAATTATTACTTTTTTACAAGAGCAACTCTTATGTTGCCATCTCGACCAGGGATCACTCGAATAACGCGTGCTAAATTCCAATATGCACGGTTTTTATTTTGATCCTCCAGCAAGACAATTTCTCCTACAGAGAGAGGTTTATTTTTGTAATTTCTGGTAGACTGCTGTCCTTAACTGCCCTAGATACTCAGAGCGAAATCTCACTCTTAACAATTCTCTCATTCTCTGGAGATACTTCGCTCTTCTACTCAATTTTTCTTTGTCTCCACATTGTCAATATCAGGTACAACCCGACTGTGGAGTTTCATGCAGAAATTTTTCTGGAGTTAAAGGCAAGGGATCTTCAATATCGTCAGACACGTACGTAAGTGGTCTTGAGTTGACAATTCTTTCACAATCACCACAAGACAGGTGAGTAACTCTTCATAACCAAGAGAAGCACGACCTAAAATTTTTCTTAATATTTGTTTTACAATTTGTATTAAACGCTCCCACCATCCACACCACCAAGGCGGCGGATGGAGGATTAAATTTCCATTGTATTCTCTTTTTCAGCAGCCTTAGAGCAGAGGCATGTCCCAGTCAATGGTTTGCAGAACTCTCTCTGCACCCACAAAATTTTCCCATTATCGGAATATATGGTGGTAGGGCGTCCACGACGTGCGATAAAACGTCTTAAAGCTTGAAAAAATGATTCAGTTGTTAATGAGGTAACCAGTTCCATATGGATAGCACGATAAACCGCACAGGTGAAGAGCACAATATACGATTTTCGTCCATCCTTTAAATGCAAGGGTCCTGCAAGATCACACCCTCCGATTTCAAAAATGGCTGAATCACGAACCCTATCATTTGGTAAAACGCCTGGGACTGTCTCACCTCTTTTAGCCTTAAATCTCTGACATGTTACACATTTTCTTATACAGTTTCTTATAGTTTTACGTGATTTTAAGATCCAGTATCTTTCTCTTAAATGCGACATCAATAATGTAGTACCTGCATGCAACAAATCTTTGTGTGCACTTAATATCAATAATTTGACTACTGGATGCTCAGAAGGTAATATGATGGGGAACTTAAAGCTGCTAGAATCGTTACGATAAGCAACTTTAGACTTAGCTCTTATTAGACCCTGACTATCGACAAATGGTCTGAGTCGTCTTAGCTTATCATCTGTTTCACCATTAAACGACTCTTTTTGTATTAATAACATTAAAGCTATTTCTCCCCTTTCTATTTCAGATACAGTCAAATCCTTAGAAGGTTGTTATTATTATTCTTACGTACATTATTATAAAATCTGAATATCCATGATAACATTCTTACAATTTTCTTAAATGATGAGAAATACTTATAGTAACATCCAATACAATTATCAATCTTTGCCAACGTAACAATAACTGTCTTACGTATTTCTGAATTAAACCAAATCCTCATCTGGTTCATCATTAGATTTAGGCCAATTTGCCTCATCTTCCCGTAACCAATCAGGTCCCTCCCGCCATTTTCGTTCTATTAATTGATCTGCATAACAACCTCTAGAAAGTACGTCAGCCAGATTGAGACTACCACGGACATGTTGCCATACAGTGGGGGAAGTCAAAGATCTGATTTCCTGTACACGATTAAAAACAAATGCTCCCCAACGTTGATTTTGTCATATCCAACTTAAAGTCGTCGAGGAGTCAGTCCAACAGTGAATATGAACTTCATGTAGGCCAATATCATTAATAACTGAAGACAATAACCTAGAACCAATATTACAAGCAAGAAGTTCTAATCGAGGAATCGTAATAGGTTTTAAAGGAGCTACTCTCGATCTTGCGTGTATCAAACTAACCTTCACCTTTTTGCCAGTCTGTACTCTTAAAAAGACGCATACGCCATACGCACTTTTACTACTGTCACAAAAGAGATGTATACTCACAGCTTCATTAATAGATTTGAGACCTACCCATCTAGGTATTTGGATACTGGATAGCAAGTACAACTTTTTGAGCCAAAACTTAAACTTTTTGGTTAATTCATCGGAAAGAACATCGTCCCATTTAAGCCTTAAATTCCAAGTTTCCTGTAAAATTAGTTTTGGAATCAACATTACAGGAGCCGTATACCCTATAACGTCAAACACCTGATGAGCTACTGCTAAAACTAGTCTTTTAGTAACTGGGTCATCCAATTTTATATCTGACTTATTTTGCAAGATAAGGTATCTGTAACTGTATGCCATACAAGACCCAAAACAGACACATCTCCTTCCGTGGAGGAATCTTCCTCTGGCCACAACACTTCTTATATTGGGATTTCCAGAATCTTAAATTAAAATGACCCGAAGCCATAATTATTTGTGATTCATTTACAAAACTTTCTCATTTCTATTTCTGAATCCATACTAGCCACACAGTTATCTACGTAAAAGGATGTTTTCAAAATCTCCGCTGTATGACTTAAGCTCTTCGGGAACTACACTCAAATGATATTGTATTGTAGCGGCCAATAAATACGGACTACACGTAATACCAAAAACTACCCTTCCATGCCGATACAGTTCAACTTGTTCTTGATTATCCCTACTGAACCACATAAATCTCAAAAAGTCTCGATCTTTTTCCCTTATAGATATTTGCAAGAACGCTTTTTCTATATCTGAAGTGACACCAACGTAATTCTTGCGAAACCGATTAAGAATCGAAGGTATAATTTCTATTAAATTTGGTCCAGTAGATAAAACAATCGTTCAATGATGGGTAACCAGGCGAATGAGAACTTGCATTAAACACCGGTCTTATACTCGTGCTACTATTTTCTTTAACAACTGCTCTATGAGGTAAATAATGTACACCCTCATATTTATTTTTATCCGGTACTTTTTCAATTATCCTGAGTGCTAACCAGTTCTGAAAAATGTCTCCGTAAGCGTCAAAATTTCCCGTAGTCATTAATTTCCTTTTAGTACTTACATTTTTCTGCTCACTTTGTTTTCGGGTAAAAGCGAGCTATCCAACACCCAAGGTAATGCTACTTCGTGCCTTCCCTCTGAATTTACCGTAAGAGTCTCTTCAAAATATTTTTTGCGTATCCTCCTGTAACTGAGTTTTGGTTTTACTTACGGAAGGTTCACCAATACCCAAAACATCTAACTTCCAGAGATCACTTATACATTGACCCTTCACTAACAGAGAAGAAATTAGGAGGGATGCAGTATTTATCGTAGTTGGCTCAGTGCCAGTAAATTTACCCATAACAGTCCAGCCTAATTGCGTATGCACCGCGCTGACGCCGCACGTAAGGGGAACAATTTTTCCAGTTAGCAACTTACCAGCAAAATCCGCACCAATTAGTAATTTTATCTCTTTATCTACCTTATATGTACCATTTTCTAAATCACTTAATTTGATACCATGTGACTTAAGTTCGCGTAACCACGAACCAGATGGGGGTTGCTTAATTTCAGAACAAATTTTGTTTTGACCAAGTACCTCTAATTTACACTTATATTTACTATATATATTGCTTACTTCAATAACATGGTTTTTATATACATTTTCTGAAGTCTCAACTCCACCAAAAAGAAATTGCTTAATTTTTGATTCACCAATACACTTACAATTTAACCTTTGAGCAACATCATTACATAAATATGATTTCATAGAACCACTATCATAAATTGCTCGTACAAACATTTCTTTAGAACCATTCTGAATTTTTACAATTAAAGTTTGAAGATACACATCTGATACCTTAACATAGTTATTAAGAATGCCTGTTTTGTTTTCTTCATTCCCTAACTTTGTGACACTTTTTGTTTTGTTAGAAGGCAAATCAGGGCACATAATCACAAAATGTCGATTTTTACATAAGGTACACCTATGTTTAGCTGTGCACTGAATTTGCTCTATGGTTTTTCTTAAGGCACACAAAACAAACATTCTTTTTCTTAATAATATCTTTCTTACATTCTAAACTCATTAAAGAATGCATCTTTACAACTTTCAGACAAATGGGATTTTTTCACAAAAAATACAAGTATATCAGACTTTTTATACTTTTGAAAATTATCATTACACTTACTACTATTTGCATTAATTAGTTCACATGCAGTTGGAACAACAGGTTTTGTGTCAAAAAACTTATTTTTTCTTATTACTTACTTTATCAGAACTCAAAACATCACGTGTAAGTTTTAACTCTAAATTCAGTTTCTACTTCCCTTTTTAGAAAATCAATTAATGACTCTAAATCACTCTTACCTGTTGTTTCAGGAGACATACCTCGTTGTCTTTCCCAAATTTGTATTAAATCAGCAGGAAGTGCTGATTCCACTAAAGGAAATTAAACAACTGCAAATTTATCTTTAGTTAAACCGAGTGTTTCCAATGCGCGTAGTTGAGTTCGCAACTTGTCATAAAGAGTTAATAAGTCTATCTTTTGTTTGTCATTAATTATCAGTTTTAATAGCTCTCTAACATAAATTTGAATTAAAACATTTTCGTTTCCAAATCGTTCTTTGAGATACTCCACGGCTTTTTCGTAATTTTCTTCCGTAGCAGAAAAACTCTCCACTATTGCTCTAGGCGCAGTCTCAGGTTTCGTAGATTGTAGTAGATAATGAAACTTGCCTCTCTTGTCGATGCGAGTATCTTCATGTATTTTACTAAACCTTGTCCAAAACGTCAACCACTTTCGGGAGTCTCCATCGAACTTCACCAGTTCGATCTCTGGCAATTTCTGTTTTGCGGTTGTAACTATTCCTGATGAAGAACCGCTATTCGTTGACCCAGTAGAAGGCTGTGAACACTTATCCTTTTTCCTGTTGGCTTTTACTTTCAACGTAGATAATTTATCGTAATATTCTTGAGCTGCATTAAATTCTCTTTCGTATTCTTCTTCAACACAGCCTTTTTTTTTTTTTTTTGTAGAAGTTCCAAAAAAGAGGGTTTAATCCTAGTATCCGGTGCACACTGGATTATGCTACTTTTGGCGACTTTATGATGAGCAGTAAAAACGGGACATATACGATGAGTAGTTAACGGGTCATTCAAAGAAAATATATAGTTAAACATAGTATATACTATGTATACACACATAGTATATAGTATATAGACGTTCTTTGGATCATTTTTGGTGTTGGCGATAATTTTCAAAGTCGCGCCAAGGCTGCACCGTATACTAGGATTTTACAAAAAAAAGTCATCCGTATTTCGTAAAGTTTTATACTTCTCTGAAATTTCATCTAAATAAATTTCTAAATCGTCCAAATCCGGAGAATCTGCTCGTATCAATTCATCTAACTTATTAGCTGTTTTCGTAAATACACTCCTAATTGCTTTCCGCTTCTGTTTTAGTGTTTCTAAATCATCCATGTTTGCACCTAGGAACGGTACTTTTCCGTTTTGCCGGCGCAAGCGATAAAGTTGCCAATAATGGTACAACTGATGCCAAACGGAATATTCTCGCTGGTAACCTTTTACGCATCATTTTCAAAACAAGTCGCAGCTTTTTCTTATCAGATTGGTTGTTTCTTACAATACTGGCATATAGAATACATAGAATTTTTATCAGATAGTTCAGTTTATGTCTAAGGCCATTTTCGGTAATTAAGTCAATTGGGATGCAATCACAGCGCTTATCCGAAGCCGAAAATATAGAAAAGGTAAAGTCAAGGGTTAAATTCATCCATTCTAATGAGAATGCATTAGCGAAGTAAAGCACTGCAGTTTTTACATAATTTCTGAGTAAGCTATTCGTACGAATTGAAATATTTCTTGCATTTAAACTTGTGTTCCAAATTAAGATTTAACTTGAAATGAATGTAGATAATTACTGAGAGCATTAGATTTTTGTAGAGTAGTTTACGTGAGATGATCGCTTGGGGTAACGTGATATGAACCGGCGAATCAGGATGTTGAACCATGAAAACATAGTAAATTCTTAAATTAATGTCTTTTTACAAATTTATTGTCTTTATTTATTGGCTTTTTATAAAATTTTAAGCGATATTAAAATGTTTATGCCTTCTTTTTTTAAAAGAATTCTTAGAACTAATATTTTTTTAATATTTTTTATGTGTATACTGTATGTTGTCGCCAATAAAGTCTGCTTGGCGAGATTTGCGCCGGCGAAACGGAAAAGTACCCCTAGGAACTTCTCTTATTTTCGTAAATTATCAAGTGTCGAAATCGATAATGTCACCCTGTGACATTCAATCCTGGC